CTGGAAAAGTATATCATTTTTGGTAAAGTGAGGGTTGGAGAAAAAGAGAAAGACCCCTAATGAGATGGATTGTCACAGTGGCAGCTCTAGAAGACCCCATTTCTCCAGAACCTGTGTTAAGTATTGCCTCCAGAGGTAGAGTCAAACAGAGGTTTCTGTAAAGGAGAAGCTTGACTTAGCATAATGCTCAAAGTTCTTGGGTGGTGGAGTGCCGAACAGAATGAAGAACCCTGAGGAATAATCACAACACGTAGAGAGAATGAGGTGCAGAGAGCATGAACCTTTGTAGGTGTAGCCGTGTCCTCAATACGGCAGCTGCTATGGCGTCTCCATGCCTCTGCTTTTACTCCTGGAGGGCCAGGCGGGCACTTTGTTCCAGGGTGAGCATGCCACAAACAAGGGGGCTTCCAGAAGTTCGTGAACAAACTCCCTTATCTCTTAATTCCATTTTCCCACAAAGGATAGACCGTATCCTTGTGCAACCCTCCTATGGCCCAGGAAGGGTCATCCCACTTTGCCAAAGACAGCCTGAGTTGAGAGAGGTTCCTGGACCAGCATGCCCTGTGGCTGGGACCTGTTGAGTGGAGATTGGAGCTCGGCCCTGGTCATGTGTGCTGTGTGCTCAGGCTGCCCCAGACTGCCTCGCATCTCAATGGGCATTCTTCTCCTTGCTGGCCAGGTCTGAGGCTCCTGTGGGCAGACAGCTGCCCCAAAGAAGGGGCTCTGTGAGTATCAGCTGGAGTCGGCCAGGAACCGAGGGCTCGAAGACAAGCCTGAAAATGGAGCTGTGCTGCTCGTGGTTTGCCATGAGCTTGTTGAGGGCTGGCAGGAATTGCTCATGTGCCTTGGACACAACTTCATTATGTTCTTGCAAGACGTCAGGGCCAATGAATGTAGATAATGAGAGGCTGCTTGCCTGCTTAGTGTGGGGACCTTTTCTTCCATCCAGTGGGGCCTTGATATCCTGCCTTGGACGAAGTGCCATGGGCCTTCTGAGACGTGAACAGATTCATTGTGTGATGTTCTCTAAGAGGGCCTCTTGCTGGTCGTCTTGGGGCTTTACCTAAGGTGGAAATGTGACCCCAGAGAGGCCCTGCTCAAACACCTGACCACATGCCCTGACCTCACTGTCTGAAGCTGTGGGCCACTGGGTTGAGAGCTGCACAGTCTCTCCCACTTAGCTGCTCACTGAGGTCCCTGTATGGCAGCGCTGTGGTTGAGATCTCAGCCTACTGCTTCTCCTTTGTGGCCTGGTGGCTGCCCTGTGCACTGTCAGATAACAGGTCAGGAAGTTCAGATAGCCCGGTGTGGTTCTGGTTGGTGTCTGTCCCAGCTAGCTGTGTGACCTCAGGCAGATGCCCCATTGTTCCACTTCTGAGCTTCCGTACTGATAAACTGGGGATGTTAGTACCAGTGTTGTGAGAGTGGGGGTGTCTCGTCAGCTTCATTCAGGGTGTGGCTAGACCAGGGTCCAACCCTTTTGGAAGGGTGTTTGCACTTGCTGCGATGATCAGGAGATGTGCTTACCTGATGGTACCAGAAGAGAAGCCTAGCAGCTGTCAGGAGGTTAGGCTGATTCACCAGGAGAAATTTCATTAGGTCAGGAGAATGTTCCTTGGCGGCTGAAAGATGCCAGGCCTGAACAGTCACTCCCAGATAGCTAGCAGTCAAAGGATGGGCTGCCCTAATGGACCATCTGTCCCAGAGAATTCCAGGGAAGGGGTCTGTTATGGATTGAGATGTTTCGTTCCAAATAAAGTACTGAAATCCTGGCCTTGATACTGTAAGTGGGGATCCTGGTGTGGCACTCGCTGTAGGATAAGCACTGGACCTCAAAGTCCATTTGAACCACAAGGTCGGCTGTTCAACCTCACCAGGGTTGCTATGAGACAGAATCAACTTGATGGCACGTAACAGCAACATATTGTAAATGGGGCCCTCGTGTAGCACAATAGGATAAGCCCTGGACTGCTAACTGCAAGTTCAGCTATTCAGACCCACCAGCTGCTCCTCAAAAGCCCTATGAGTCACTGTGAGTTGGTACCAACTTGAAGACACATAACAACAACAACATGCTGTGAATAAGGGATGATGGTGGTTCCATGCGGGAGTCCCAGGCAGTATAACTCAGATCCACCTAGCATCTCTTTGTCAGCGGAGGTGTGAGTGTTACTGTGATGCTGCACACATTTCAGTGGAGCTTCCAGACTAAAACAAGATGGACAGAAAGGTCTAAAAATTAGTTAGTGAAAAGCAATGTATCACGGTGGTCCAATCCGCAACCCATTGTAGGGATGGGGTAGTAGGACTGGGTGGTATTTGGTCCCATCATCCACATGGTTGCTGTGAGTTGGGGACGAACCCAACAGTAGCGTACAACAGTATACCTATAAATATGATCCTTCTTGGAAATAGCGGTGCCTTTGTTAGATCTAGGTCATGTCCAAATGGGTGGGGTCTTGAACGTAGTCACTTCTGAGTTTCAAGAGAACCAGAGTGGACGAAGAGACATATATATGGAGGAAGACAGATGCCATGTGAGGATTGTCCATAAGCCAAGGAACACATGAGGCTGTTGAGAAAGAAATCATTGACATGACCAAGACCAAGATTTGGATGTTTTGCCCCTAGAACTTTAAGAAACAGTCTGTTCTTGAAAACCTTCACTTGTGATATTTGTGTTGTAGCAACACCAGGTAACCTAGACTCCTATCAGGAGCAGGTGAGGCTGGTGTGAGTCTGACTATCTGACTGGCCTGTAGCATGGGTGCCCAGACGAGACACTTTCCCCGTTTCTCCTCCCTTGGTTTCCTCGTCTCTAAAATGGATGTTGGTTCCCAAGGTCCCCTTTCTGGGTTTGTGGAACATATGTTGCGACATGTGGCCACTAAGTTCCTGTGTTTCTGGTGTGAGTTAAATATATTTCTTTCTTTAAGGCAGAGTGGTAACAAATAAGAACTTTTATCCTTAGTTTCTAGTCATTGTGAGAAAGAGAACTGTGCTGGGATGGGAAGCTGGCTTCCGAAGTTACCCAAGTCAGGAAGAGGGGAGGGGAGCGGATGGTGAAGTGAGCCCAGTGTTTGAGGCCAGGGCTATTGATGAAGGGGGTGAGATCAGGAGATCCCTGAAGAGGCCCCTGCAGGGACCAGACCTGAGTGGGCAGAGCATGGACAGAGTCACATGCACTGTGTGTTTTGAAGGTCGAACCATTAGAGGATCTTGGTGTGTTGAATGTGGGGGTTAGAAAGAAAGAGAAACACCAGGGATGAGGTCTAAATTTTTTTACTTGAGCACAGCAGAGTGGAGAGTGATGCCGTTTCAAACCTGAGGATGGAATGAGTTATGGAGGAGCTGGATTGGGAGTTGGGAGACCACAATTCCATCATGGGGCCTGTGTAGTTTGGAAGGTCCTTTGATGTCTCCGATGGACGTGCCAAGCAAGCGTTTGCTGCTGCTCTCACCAACTCACTCTGCTAGATGTGAACCAGACTCACACGAGAATTCTGACCTAAGAAGCGTGTTTGGGGCTGGTTTCTGACCGGATTTTCTTCTCTCTTTTCCCCCACCTCTGCCCAGTTGGCTGGAGTTGTCTTCCTTGGAGTGGGACTGTGGGCATGGAGCGAGAAGGTAGGTGTAACTTTGTTTAGGATCCTCTCAACTTCAGCCAGCTTTAATTGTTCCCTCCTCCCAGCTGCTAACCTGACAAGTATTTCTTTTGCACCATAATCATTTTGTAATTATTTTCCATGGAGTCTAGGCCATAGTACTTTTGTAACAGAATGGAAACTTCTGGGGGCCATAAGGTCTCCTGACTCTTGATCTGAGCCTTCGACTTCGGAGTCAGGCCAGCATGAACTCTGCCCCCCATCCTTGAGGCGGTTGCTAGAGACCAGTGGCTGAGCCATGTGGGGTTTTGAGCTTCATGAAGGGGGAAAGCCTCTGTCTCTCCCCACACCCCCAAGTTGTCTTTGTGCTCTGAACACCATTCTGCTGGTTCCTGAAGCTTTCCCCCTTGCCCGCAGAACCCCTGGAAGCAGAAAGAGGGGTTGCATTAATTCCCTTAGTGTCTGTGGCAGAAGGGCCAGCTGCTAAAACAAAGGAGCAGATAGGACTTGGACTGAGCACAAGGCTGTGGACAAGGGAAGCTATGGTGAATATTGGAGAGGTGGTTCGGGACTGAAACCTGTGTTCCCACGAGGTACCCAGTGCTCAGTCCTGCAGGCTTTCGTGCCTTGGGAGTTAGAGAAGGCCCAGAGTCTGGTTTAAGTGCTTTCTGGGTGAACTATCATCCCCTAAAGGTCAAGGGTCAGAGTGTGTGTGGTTCGCCCCCGTGACTCATGATGCCATCATGTGGTTTTCTAAGGGATTACAGTGGCCCAGCTGGATGGCACTGAGTGGGTGGGACGCTTTCCTCCTTCCTCCTCTGAATTCGGTAAAACTGCTTTGTCCTTTATGTTCACTACTATTGCGTGTGGCTTTTTATATTTAAACTTAAAATTAAATTTTTTGGCATTCAGTTGTTCAGCCCTGTTAGCCATACTTCGAGTGTTCTCAGTAGCCCCTTCAGTCCCATTTTGTGTAGTGCAGACAGAATGTGTCCATCTTCACAGAAAGGTCTGCCCCTGGCAGATGTGTTTAGAGTGAAGTTGTTTTCATCTCAGGATAGTCCATGAGTTGGCTTCAACATGGGTACATTAGTAAAGTCAGCTGCCCGAATGGGCTGTGGGTCTGCAGGGGGACTACAGGGCAGGGCAGGCAGGCCCCTCTCCTTACTTTGTACTGGCTGCAGCCCATGTGGGGGGTCTCCCCCCTCCAGACTACCCTGCGTCTCTCCCTCTTTCAGGGTGTGCTGTCAGACCTCACCAGAGTGACACGACTGCATGGGATTGACCCTGTGGTGCTGGTCCTGATGGTGGGCGTGGTGATGTTCACCCTGGGCTTCGCTGGCTGTGTGGGGGCCCTCCGTGAGAACATCTGTCTGCTCAAGTTTGTGAGTGGTCCTGGGGGTGGGTGGGCTCCCCTTACAGGGGTGGCATCTCCCAGCTGTGTCCGGGTCCCAGGAGAAGCCCAACTGCATACCATCTCATTGCACTCACTACAGGACGGGGTATGCCATTGGGATGGGCTGAGATGGGCTGGGGCGGGGGGGGGCAGGGGGAACCGGGGAGGGGGGCAGTCAGAGCTCTGAAGGAGTTGTTTGTCTGCTCCTCACCTTTGTCCTTCCTGGGGAAGGTCAAACCCTAGTGGATGGTACAGTAACGTTACATCATTTCCCTCCCCTTCCCCAGTGTGTGGATCTGTTGAATGTGCATGCAGAATCCTTAACTTCCTGGCAGAACTTCCATTTACCAAGCATTTATATTTAGAGTCAAATCATTTTGAAATGCAAGCAATTAAAATTAAAAAGCACCCAATGGGGAGAACGTATTTTCAGGGTTGCCCCCCCCCCCAACATATTATTTGTTATATTTATTGGTTCAAGCTTCCTCTTCCCTGATCTTAATTTAACAACCCAAACACATGGCTGCTTTCTAATTTTTTCCTCTGAAAAAAGATTGTTTGTATCTCGTTTCTCTGAAGGTAGAACTGATATTTTGGAGGGTCTGTAGGGGCACATGTGTGTCTCTCCCCTCTATGCTATTTTCACGAGTGACTGGTGTGGTACATCTGCCTCGTCCTTTATATATGACTGGTGACAATGTGGGGTCACACTCTGCCCTGGGGCAGGAGGACCCTGTGGTCCTGCCGCGGACTGCCAGGCCACTGTCAAGGAGCTCAGGTTGTGTTGGCTGAGTGAGCCTGGGTGTTTCCTGTGCCCTTTTTCAGTTAGGAACTCAGATGGTGGTATGTTTGGGGAGAGCACCTGGATGGTGTGCCATCCGGGCACAGACCACTTCTGTCAGGCCCCGTGCTAGCTCCCGGGAGAGACTGCTGAACAGGAATGCTGAACTCTTCGGTTGCAGTGTTCTTAACACATTCTCTCATTTAACGCTTAGCAGTAATGCAGCCATGTGCATGGGGGTCCTTGTACCTGTTTTACATATCACCTAGCTAATAGCATGGGGTCCTTGGGCTCTTAGGTGAGAGCCCGGGTTCTTTATAACAGACAGAGGGTCCGCACTGGATGCCTGGCGGGGCTGGTGGTGTGCATGTGGTCACTCCCCTCCTGTCTTTGTCCCCGAGCAGTTCTGCGGAGCCATTGTGTTCATCTTTTTCCTGGAGCTGGCCGTGGCGGTGCTGGCTTTCCTGTTCCAGGATTGGGTGAGAGACCGGTTCCGGGAGTTCTTCGAGAATAACATCATATCCTACCGAGATGACATCGACCTTCAGAACCTCATTGACTCCCTGCAGAAAGCCGTAAGCCACTCTGTAGAGGGCGGGCCCCTCGGGAGAGCACACACTTCCTGGCATGTGGTATGGAGAAGTTGAGGCTACTGGTGGGGACCCAGGGCTCCTTCCTCCTCAGCAGCTTCCTGCCTACAGCATTGCAGACGTAGGAGGTGCCACCTCAGCTGCATTCACTCGAACTCCTGGTGGCTGGCGGTCCAGGTTCTCTCGGACTGGTGAATGTGTCCTCCTTCCTTTAGTGTTGGACAGGCAGATCTGCTTTCACCCATGGCCGCCCATCCCGGGAGCCCTGTCCTCTCCTTCCTATAGGATCCAGATTCTTAGAGAGTATTGGTGGGAGGAGCTGACTTTCTCCAGCCTTGCCCAACAGCCCCACCCCAACCCCCAACCCCAACCCCCAGGCAGCTGCCCTTTTCCCTGGAACCCTATCATTGTGAACCCCACCATAGCTTCTCTCTGGGCTTGTGACTCACCACCTCAAGCTATTCCTGACTTCCCCACTTCCCAGACTAGTCCCCTTCCTGCCTGAGAGGGCAGAGCTGACCTGCAGGAAGTGTCTGCAGATGGAGAGGGATGTGCCCTGCCTGGACTATCTCCTGGGGCTTTGTCCATGGCCTCTGTCGCCTCTTGCATCTGTCATCTGTACTGGGAGGCCTGGACCCTAACTCCCCTGGGTTAGGGTTGGGAAGAATGTCTCCTCATTGAAAACTTCGTATACAGAATGTGGATTCTAGGGAGAAAAGAAACTAGAAAGCATTCAGCATGACCATGGTCCACTTGCATTTCGACCTAACATTTACTTCTGTGTTAAATGCTGTCGAGTTGCTTCCAATTCATAGCGACCTGTATAGGGTTTCTAAGGAACAGCTGCTGTATTTGAACCACTAACCTCATGTTTAGTAGTCCAGAGCTTATCCTACAACGTCACACTAGGTCTCCAAAGCTTACTGAAAATCCTCGTATTTGATGTGATGAGGTCCTTCAGAACCCATTATGACCCAAGTACTTAGTTTGCCCAATGTTGTTTTGGGACTTCAGGTGTGGCACTGTAGGATCAACACTGGACCTTGAACTGTAAGGTCAGTGGTTCACACCCACCAGCTGCTCCTTGGAATCCCTATACTATATGGTGGTTGCAGAACCATTCGCTATGACTTGGAACTGACTTGATGGAACTTAACACCAACTCGTTGTTTTGGAGTCCTGGTGTAGTACTGTAGGCCGAGCACTGAGTTGCTTGCTAACCATGAGGCCTGTGGTCCAAACGTACAGCCACTTTTTGGAAACCCTGTACAGGATCGCTATGAGTTAAAACCAACTTGACGGCACTTAATAACACTGTTATGGATCGGACCGAGTGTGTTCAAGTCCCTCTGCTGGGCCCAGCACCGAGGCCCTCTTCCTTCCTTTTTAGTTTTCACGTTCCTTGGCTTCTGCTTCATAGGTTGGGTGGCTCCTCCCTGCTGACCTGAAAGACATTGTGTTTTCCTTTCGTTTTTAAAAATACATTTCCCCAGAAGGACTGAGTAAATTGTGGGACTGCTGCTTGGTGAACTATTAGGTCATCATGAAAAACAGCCGGAATTTAGAAGTTTCAGAGAACGAGGCCGAAGTATAGGTTTGTATTGTTGGTTGTCATGGTGCCTTAGCTCTGTCAGCTGTAAGGATGAGAAACGAAACGTGCTGCTGGCAGCGATCCTTTGTTTTTAACAGTCTTTTCAGACACTTGGGGATTTTATTTGCAGCTACCACTGATAATGGGGGTACGAGGCAGAGGGGAGCTGAGGTCTCAATTGATCTGTGGTGGTGGTGGCTGTGTGCCGTGGAGTCGGTTCCGACCCATAGCAACCCTGTACAGGGTTTCCGAGGCTGTAAATCTTTACGGGAGCAGAAAACCTCACCTTTCTCCTACGGAACAGCTGGTTGTTTCGAACTGCTGACCTTGCTGTTCGCAGCCCGATTCGTAACCACTATGCTACCAGAGCTCCTGTAGGTACCCTAATCTCAAATCTTTCCTTGGTAATAGTCATTCAGCTGCTGCTTTTTTTGTAAAGAATCAAAAAAGGGAATGTGAGGGCAGACTTGGAAGTTTCTCACAGGAAGACACTTGGCAACTAAGAGGGAACGCGTCCTCTTAAGGGCAACTGAGGACCATATTGGAGGCACAGAGACGTCTTAAAGGAAAGGCCATTCCTGCTGGTGGACAGCAGGGAAGTGGAAGTGAGCATGCATGCTGATCGGAAGAGAAGTCCTAGGTCATTCTGTCTCAGGGACCCTTACCACTGCCTGAGCACCTCTTTCCTTGTGTGGGAGGGGACACTTAGACTGACACCTGGCATTGGAGCCCCCTGACAGTTCCCGGATTTGGTGATTACAGAACCAGTGCTGTGGTGCTTATGGCCCGGAAGACTGGGACCTTAATGCCTACTTCAACTGCAGTGGTTCCAGCTACAGCCGAGAGAAGTGTGGAGTGCCCTTTTCCTGCTGTGTGCCGGACCCCGCGGTGAGTTCTTCTGCAGGAGTGTCTGTGGGCCCTGTTCCTTCACCTGCAGACCAGGTGAACGACACTCTGCCTTCTCACCCTTTCCCAGAGTCCTGCAGCTCTGCAAACCTGTCTGTGTAAATTCGAACGTTCCTGCCTGTCCTCCCTGGTTTTAGTGTTGCAGATGAAGCGGGGAATTAGCACCTGTCCACTGTGCTTTTCTTCTACAAGGGAGAATGCTCAGTGCTCAGAGCCCATACGGCCCAGAGTTCATGCCAGCAGGCCTCGTGGGGGAGAATTATTTTCTGTTGTCCTTTATCTGTGCTCATTCCTAGTCCAGAGCCAGGTCCTCAAGTTCTGGGGACTGGGCTCTTGGGGACACTGACTGCTGACCTGAACTGAGTTTGAGCAGATCTGGGCCCTATACATGCTCCTGGCAGTTACCTGCCTGGTACTGTGCCATGGGGTCTGAGCAGACGAGGTGTCACCGTTACTGAACAAACAACTCCCCGAGCCCCGTGAGTGCCAGAGATTTGCTGAGGTCTTTTATATAACAAGTGGAGCTTTTACATTTGCATACTTACCAGGGCAGTGGTGGCTCAGGAGTAGAGCTCTCCTCTAACATATGTGAGACCCAGGTTCAGTTCCCAACGAATACACCGGAAACACAGCCACCAGCTGTCAGTGGTGGTTTGTGTGTTGCTGTGTTGGTTTCAGCAGAGCTTCCAGGCAAAGATAAATTAGGAGGAAAGGCCTGGTGATTTACTCCCCAAATCAGCCAGTTAAACCCTAAGGATCATAGCTGATCTACAACTGATTTGGAAATGACTCAGGACTGGCAGCAGGTCATATTCTTCTGTGTATCAGGTCACCAAGATCAGGGACTGGCAGCAGACCCACACGGGCCAAATCCCCCTGCCATCTCCGCCTTGTTTTGTGTGAGCCATAAGCTACTGAGAATGGGGCTTATCGTTGAAAATCAGAAGATGATTAATATTTTGTGACACATGAAATTCTAATGAAGTTGTGTTGGAATATAGCCATGCCCATTCACGAGTGCTGTCTGGGGCTCCTTTTGTGCTAAAGCAGCCAAGGAGCATCAGTGCTACAAGGACCATACAGCCCACAAGTCTAAGATAGTTCCTGTAGCACTTTCCAGTAAAAACACTGGTGGGGAGCATAATTGAGGGGTGCAAGCTGTTATAGACGTTACACAGGTGTGTGCTGGTTGGTGGTAGCAACTTTTCTAGAATCTTCAACACCGAGCTTCTGAAGACCAACAAGAATAATTTCCGTTTCTTCTCTCCCCCCCCCCCCCCCCATTGTTTTTACAGCAAAAAGTTATCAACACACAGTGTGGATATGATGTTAGGACTCAGGTGAGAACCCCATCGTGTATACTGTCAAGAGTTCTATTCCCTATAGTACAACTTCCTGATTTAGCATCGGTGTAAATTGGAGTGTAAAAAAAGCAGGCAAGATTTAGCTCAAAGGTGCAATTCCGAGCTCTGCAGGAGTTGAGCCGGAGCTCAGTGCCTCACATACATTCACCTGCTGGTTGGTGGCAAGACACACAGGAAGAGTGATTTGTAATCTTAAACCCTATGACGGCAGTTGCTGTGTTAGCGGATAGGTGAACATCTTGGGGAACAAAAGCTACATTTTTAAGAGCTACTTGGAGCTTCCAAAGATAAGCATAATCATGAAGCTTGCTTCAGCTTCCTGGTGAAGGCAGTGGTGACCACAGTGGGGTGTTGGGTGGGGCAAAGTGACCACAGCCTTTCAAGGGAAAGATGGACTCTTGCTGGTTGTATGAGCAACATGTCTTCTCCTCAGAACATGCACGCGTCCCACCCGCATGCTCCTTCTGCTGGCTTTGGAAGGGAGGGGGGCTCCTGAGACATTCCTTGACAGCCTTTAAAACGAACTAACGCTCCATCAGTGTAGCCATGGAGAGAGCTGGGTGTGTGGCAGGTGATGGGGAAACAACTACCGAGTCTCCGGAGCCGGCACTGGACTTCTCCATGGCTTGGGGTTAGAGGGAACTAGTTTGCAGATGACTTCATGTACTACCTTAGGCTCCTGGGAGCCAGGCTTTCCTGTGCTGCTTGTGTATGGCTGCCAGGTTATGGGCTGGGAGACACTTTGAGTCTAACTTCCACCTTAGAGCCACTGCCTTCTCCCTCCTGCTAACTCCTCTGACTCAGTAGACACTGAGTCTCTCCCCGCAGTTTCCCTTCTTTAAAGACACCTCCCTCTCCAGGCCTTCGGGCCCCTCCCTTTCTTCAGCTGTCACTGAAGAAAGTTGAGTGAGTTGAGCCTTCTGCCTGCAGGCAAACAAGTGGATTCAAAGTGATAGCCAGGAAGCCTTTAGTTAGATGGGCAGCAGCGTGGTAACCATTCCACTTAAGAGGCGGTGTGCCCTCTGGAGAGACTGGGGGAAGCAGATGAGTTTCTCCTGAGGTTTTCCTTCCCATGCCCACCCCTGGGGGAGGCCCTCAGGCTAGGGCTTAACGGTGATGGTATTTCCCTGTAGCTGAAGAGCAAGTGGGACGAGTCCATCTTCACCAAGGGATGCATCCAGGCATTGGAGGGCTGGCTGCCACGCAACATCTACATTGTGGCTGGTATCTTCATCGCCATCTCGCTGCTGCAGGTTTGCTTGGGTGGGGGGTAGGGGGAGGGTTCCCACCCCCTTTTCTTTGTGTTTGAAGAAGTTGGACCTTTAACTTAGAACACGTGTTAGCTTGGGTGTGGGGAGTACTAAGGAGCCTGGCAGAACAAAGGGGTCCGGTTAGATGCACAGGCTCTCTCTCTCTCTTTGTGTGTGTGTGTTGGGCAGGAACAAGGTAGCTCCCAGAAGAGTCATGGATTAGGGGCAAGGCCCAGACCACATTGTGATCTACTACCTGGGTCCACCACCTGAAGATGGGCCCTTCAGGTCTGGGGCAGGCCAGGTAGCCATCTGCACCCTCTCTCTCTCTCTCCGTCTTACCAGCAGCCCTGTCCCGGGGCCCCTAGGCTGCCTAAGGAGGCATCCCCTTTCTGGAGGTTGGGGTCTGTTTGTGTTCAGGGTGTACTGTCACCTGCTGTCAGGTCTCTCTCAGCTGTGAGGAGCCATATAGTGCTGCAGAGTGGGAGGTACTTCTGTTGGTCAGCTGGTGTGTGAAGAAGGCTTGTGGTGCCTCAGCCGTGTGCTGTGCTCTAGGACTGGCCACTCAGGCATCTTGCCCACATGCAGCCCTGGGCCCACTGCCCTGCGCAGCTCCCTTTGCCCTCCAAGACTGCTCTTATTCATTTGAGCTGGAGTTCACATGTGGAAGAACTATGATGGCAAGAAGCCGGTAAGGCTCGTGCCAGATGCGTTGGCAGGAGACATTGAGCAGACAACAGACCAGGTCTTTTCTCGGGCTGTCCAGGGCTCATTGACGAGAAGCTACGGGTCCTGAGTAGTGTCCACACACTGCTGCTGTTATTGCATGGAAGATGCACTATAGGAAGCAGGTGACTCCCACCGTGCCTTGAAGAAGTGACTGAGGTGGACTTGAAGTCATCAGTCTCCATACACTCAATGGATGTGTGCCGAGTGATCACAGAGGGGAGGCCAAGGGACAGAAGTCTCTAGAAAAGGAAAGACAAGTGTACTTGCAAAGCAAGCAAGGGAATTAGACTTGAGAAGGACCAGCTCATCAAATACAAACCACAACAAGGAGCCAAAGGAAAAACCAAGCAAACTTGCTAGAGTCACCGAGTTTACGTTGATCTGTTGATGGTGGCAAGCCAGCAATTTCTCCACAGGATTATCATGTTCCTAAAGGTCAGGGTGACTCTTCAGACAAAATCAGCAAAAATCAGGACAAACTTGTTTTTATTATGAAACCGAGGTTGATGGAGAAAACATGAAACTAGTTACCTTGGGAATCAAAATAAGGGTGAGCAGGTACCACATGCCTTCTGCCCCAGATTATGTGGCGTGGTTAGTCATTTTGGAGGCAGAATGTGCCTTTGCATTGAGGATGCCTGCTTGTCTCTTCTAGCCATAGAGATACAGCCAAGGACATAAAGGGGCCTGACTTCCTAGGACTCGCTGGCTGTTGATGGGCTGTGTGCCCAAGTATGGAGGTCTCTGGGTGGTATAGATGGTTAACATGCTGGGCTGCTAACTAAATGTTTGGAGGTTAGATTATCCCCACAAGTGCCTCAGAAAAAGACCTGGTGATGAAATCAACCATGAAATGTTTAAAACCTGGGGAGCACAGTTCTGCTGACACATGTGGGCTCAACTCCACAGTTACTGCTTTGCTCACGTGCTGTTCTGTCTGCAGTCTCGGTCACAAGCAGAGTAAGCATGGTAATAGTGTGCCCTCGCCCTGTGGGCCCCACTGCTCGTAGTTGCTGACTGTTGGCTTTGGTTTCAGATATTTGGCATCTTTCTGGCAAGGACCCTGATCTCAGACATTGAGGCAGTGAAAGCCGGCCATCACTTCTGAGCGGTGGAGGCGGGTGTGGAGCGGTGCCACCCTCCAGAGGCGAAGCCGTCCCCGTCCCCGTCGCTGACTTGTACTGCAGAGGAAGAGCACAGGTATACTGCCCCCTGGAGCCAGCGCCCTGTCTTCAGTAGCAGCATGATGGTTCTGCGTTCTGGTGTCTGCATACTCGAGACTATATCACCAGTGGATTCTCAGACGTAGACTCACTCCTGCTGATGCCCAAGAGTGTCTGCAGGATCCCCTGCACCCCACTACTGAGGTCCCCGTGTCCACTTTGCACAGACCTGTGGGGCGGGCCCACATTTTCTGTGAATGGGTGTAGGCTGGGAATACTCATACTTACACAAACCTGTGTCTCCATTAAAACCAGTGGCACAGGGACCCTGCCCACAGTTGGATGTGGGGTGGGTAACAAACAGATTTCCCCACTCAGTCAGTGGGGCCTGCAGTAATGCTCACGTGGCCATGGGGGTGTTTGTAGGACCCTCGGCCGCGTCTATGTGACATGAACCTGAGCCAGTGTGTGCTATACCACAGAAAAGCCTCGTCACTGCCCTCTAGACCCCTGGGACTCCCCAGGGCAAGAACTGGCACCATCTTCGCAGCATTAGGCCCCCAGGGGTGGGCATGGTTCTCGCCGAAGCAGCAGCCCTCCCTCTCACACAGTGTACATAGTTTATTTATAGCGGTAACAGTGCTCCTCACGTCGTCTCTTCTCACGGCTTTCCTCGGCATCCTCTTCCCGTCAGTCTTACCTGGTGTTCTGGACTCAAGGTCCATTCTGAATGTGCCAGCAGCCACTCCTATTCCCAGCAAGCCCCGGTGCCATGTGTGTCCCCTCCCCATGCTTCCCAGACATACACAGCCCAGCTTGGTTTCGTGTCTTCCATTGTGGTCTTCATGCTACTGACTGTCCCTAGAACTTGAATCCTGACCCTCTCCTGTAGAGCCAGAGCCCCTGTTGTGGCCACATTCCAGGGCTGGTCAGCTGGGCACACCTTCCCTGGAGAGGGTCTCTGCAGTCTGGCCCCTGTGCGGAGCCCGAGCCCAGACTGAAGCTGCTCTGAAGCCCAGGACGTTTTGTTTCTAACTCCGTGGTGACTGGCCCCCTGGGATGTCTGGTCCCCATACCCAGTCTTCCGGTCAGGGTTATTCTGGGGCTTGTTCCAGAGATGATGTCTGTCATTGTTTGGAGTAACCTGGGGATAGCTGGGTGCCGGTCCATTTCTCTGCCGATGCTTCTCCACAGCTGTCCTCATCGTTCAGGGATCGAGTCTACCTTGACTTACTTGCCGAAGTGTACATTCCAGAGTGGTGCACACTGGTGGATGTTTGTTGATGATGTTAATGATACATACATACATATATAGATATATATAAAATTTTTTTTTTTTTTTTACAATTTTCTCAATAGACTAGGGAAAGAAGGATGCTTGTGTTTTTAGAAAGTGTGATATTTTTCTTTGCCTTTCGAACTCTTTTATGGAATATATCTTTATATTAAAGTTGCTGTTTTTGTTGATTTTGTTTGAGGTCACTATCAATGTGATGAGCATCTCCGTGGTAAGCTGGGCTACTGAGGGAGCCAGTGGCCAGGCTGTGATTAGACCAGACAAGTGGAAGGGGTAAAGGAAGCCCCACTTTGGCACAATCTGAAATAAATTTAAATGTGCTTTTAGTTTCTCTGTGCCACTTTCAAATCTCCTTGTATGAAGACATTAAGTGGAGTAAGTTGCACGTGCCTTAGCTTTAAGCTGTATCCACAGGATACAGAGGCCCCTGGGTGATGCAAACAGTTAAAATACTTGACCGTCAACTGAGAAATTGAAGGTTCGAGTCCACCCAGAGGAGCCTCAGAAAGTCGGCCTGTCAGTCTCCTGAAAAACTCATCACTGAAACCATATTGAGTACAGTTGTACCCTGACACAGGGTGGTCCTGGGGAAGGAGACAGCTGTGAGGAGCTGGCTGCGGGCTAGGATGAGCTGTGAGCTGGGCTCAGTGGTAATGTTGATCTCCTCCAGCCTGCCCTCCAGCCTTTCACTGCCAGCATGTTGGCACCAACAGCTCCTGGAGCCCTCTCCAGTCCCCCAACCCTGGTGATAGCCTAGTCACATGATGAAGGCTGCCTGTAACTTCTAAGCTGGGTTTGGTTTCCAACTGATTTGTAAAACTTTTGGCCACTATCCACCCTCTCATCCGACAGTGAATAGTTGAGAGAGGAGAGACAAGATACCCAAGAGCGGGGTGACCACATGGGAGTCCGCCACCCTATATTCTGTTCCTGTACTGAAGACATTGTGCAGCCCTCAGCCTGTCCGGTTTCCTCCACACCCCGTGCAGCAAAGGCCAGTGTGGCCCTCTGCACACATACAGACATCCCCACGCATGCACGTTCACGTTCAGGTTGCATGATTCTCCTGTTCCCTCTGCCTTCCTACCTCTTCCTCTGGTGACTTGACCACACTGTTGTCCAACCCCATCTCTATTGTCCTCTTCTAAAAGCCTTGTTTGGGTCCTTTGGCTGGCCTGCCTTCCTTACCCAGCCAGCTTCTTCACTGGGCTTCCTGTATCCCTCACCCTAACTAGCCACACCCTCTTCTCTTAGCTTAATGAGCTTCTCCTATCTAAAAGCTGCTGTGAGTCAGGGCTGCCCTCAGCTCTTGCAGTGTCTGACATTAGACCAGCCACACCTCAAAACCCTCTGCTTCAAGGGGGGAGTGCCAGCTTCCTGACCGTTTCTACCCTCCCTCTCATGGCTGCCCCCTCACCAGGCTCCAGGGGGCCCTACCTATCCACAGGAAAACTCTTGCCTCTGGGCCACTAGAAGCGGGGTGTTCAGTTTCCCCATATTAATAACAGTAATGAACACATACAAAGACATCTGGGCACGAGGATATGCTCAGAGTACCCTACAGGCAACAGATGCCTCTAATCACTAGAAATTGGGGACACTATTCTCATAGCCAAAAATGAGAGTCTAGGAGGAAGGTAAGTTACTGTGGATTTTGAAGACCTGGATTCAAACACTGAAGTCTTGTCGCTCAAACTGAACCTGCAGCTGAACTGGGGACCTGGTGCGTACCAACACTGACCTCTGTGAAGGACCCTGCCAAGCACATCCAGCATAGAACAAAGGTGGGCGCAGCGATCCCCAGCAGCATGCTCTGCAGTGTGGCTAATCCTGCACCAGGACTTGGGTACCAGTCTGACGTGGGGCTTTGGGAGGAGAGCATGGTGTCATTGCAGAGCTCTGTCCCAACTCTGCAATGAAACACCTGGTTTCTGGCTCAAGGTAGAGGCTCTAGGCAGCCTGGGTGTTTGGTCCATAGACTGGCCCCTGGCTTCATGTCAGGTGTCCATGTTCATAAGCCTGTGGAAGGTTTTTCTGGACTTGACAGTGGGGATCAAAAGTGCCTCCTCTTGAGGGGACACCATGCCTTTGGGAGTTGATGGCTATTCATGTAAGTTTGGGAGCATCAGGGCGGAACTCAGGAGAAGAGGTCTCAGTCTGTCAGGGGGGACCCTTTGGTGGTTTACTGGTCAACAGCTGCTCCTAGGAAACCCCGTACAGGATCACTATGAGTTGAAATCTACTTGATGGCACTTAACAATAAATTACTACCTCTTAAGCTGAAATTTTATCACCTCAATTTTTAATTGCTTTTTTTTCGGCGGGTAGGGCAATCTAGTAGAGTATAAAGTGAAAAGTGTATCTCCTGTTCCCCAGAAGCTATCCATGCATATTCATAATTTCCTTTTCACACAAATGGGAGACTCATTTTACTCCACTTAATTTTAGCATGTCAAATATTTCCCTATCAGTGCATCCTGATCTGCTTTTCTCTTCCTGGTCAATGGTTGCCACAAGTGATTGAACCTTGCCCTAGTGCCTGGGGAGTTTGTTTACAGTCCCAGGTAACAGAAAACCCAATTGGAACCGGTTTAAACAATGAGGGGAGGTTTTTAGTTCCTGAAGCTGGAAAGTCCAGAGGTGGGGTGACTTTCGGCTAAGTTTGATTCAAGAGACTGGGTGATGTCAGAGAGGGTCTGGTTTTTTTGTACTCTTGTCATCCACAGTGTCCGAGTTGTCTCAGGCAGAGAGGGACAAGCCACGCTCATGGGGGAAGTGTGGGAGTGAAACCTGGAGGGATCGAACAAGTGACAGGGAGACAGAGTCTTGTAGGAGAGAGAGTACCAGGTGCTGCCAGTCATTTCCTGTTCAGCCTCTGGATGGGCGTTTTGGTTGCATGCAGATTTTTACTCTCAAAAGGGCCTACAAAAATTCTACAGAATTTGTTATTGGAATCACTTCCAAGGAGAATTTATAAGAAAGCATGTTTTTTTGTGTGTGTGGATTGAGTGAAAGTTTATAGGGCATATCACGTTTTATGCTCAACAAATCATATACCTTGTTTCATTACACTGATTATAACCCCCTCCATGTACCATCAGTTGACAGTATTACGCTCTGTCCACTTTAGCTTTTTAAAAAACACACAAACAAAAAGAAACCACTCAGGCATATATAATTTACATCTCCAAAAGGCACATTCTGCAAGTCAGCTCCTGGCCACCAGTTCTTAGCCCTTGTCTTCTTAAGTTGATGAATCTAGAGTCCTCAGCCGCTCCCCGTCTCCATGACCCCATCTCTGGTGCTGCTGCTTTTCTGGATAAGGTCCCGCATTGTGCTTGTGCGTTCCTTTCTTGATGGTCCTAGGGTCATTTGTTTCTGGACTGTAAGATTAACCACTCCCCTTTTTTTGTTACAAAACTTCTACCTTTACAATTGTGACAATCGCGATTAGTCATGATAACATTCACTATTGAATCTTACGAATCTTATCCCCATCTCTTCACCAGACCCATCTAGACAAGATGACAGCTATTCAGTGGGGACTCAAGAAAGCATGTGTTTTAAAGGAGTTTTCCGGGGATCTGGGCTGACGTTTTAACTCGTGGGGCTCAGGGCTGGGGTGTGCCTGTTGCTGGGGTATGTGGA